TTTTTTTTTTTTTAATCTGATTTAGTAATGAAGTTTGCTTATCGATTCTTAGCTTTTTTTTTTTTTGGTTACTATTGTGAGCATAAGATGGTAAAATAAGCCGGTATAGCAAAAATGAATAGTTAACTGCAGTAAAGTTGCCACTAAAAAGTTACCGGACGTGACTTGTCTGGGAGATAAGAAAAAAAAAAAAAAAAAAAAAACGAAGAAAAGAATTTAAGGTGAAAAAGAAAAAAGCTAGACGTGAGAAAAAAAAAAATTTAACTAAACAGTGCTGAATCATATGAATTGCTGAAGTGCAGTATCAAAATTCAGTAACTGAATGTGTTTTATTGAACAAAATGACAATCGCTGTTCCGCTGTCTGAACAATGATATATATACATATATTTGTGGTATTTATAATTGGAATGTTAAGAAACTACGAGAAGAAGCGGAGGAAAAAAGGAAAACAATGATTGGAAATAAGAATAAGGATGGGAGGAGGGTGAAAAAAAAAAAATTTAGCTGTTTTTTACCGGTTGTTTACGGCAGTTTTAATATATCTATTTTTTGCTTAAATCAAGGAAAAAAAACAAATACTGCTGTACAGAATACGTAATTTATTTATATCACATCTGTGAAAAAGTTTGGATAAAGGTGTTAAGAATCATAACAAATTTTAAATTTGAAAATAGGACAATTACAGATTATTACAGTAACAGGAAGTAGAATTTTTTTTTTTTTTTTATAGATAGACAATATAGACAACATTTTTGCAATAAACTAGGCCAAGAGTTATAGAGTTGGCACATCTGTTATGATGGGAATGCTTTGGATGATATGTTAGTTAATGATACTACTTCTGTTGTAACATTTACATTTACTGTATGAATAAATGTATTCTTTTTTTTACTTTTCAAATAAATAAAAAAATAATTTTGAAATTCAAAAGAATTTTTTATGTTTGAATTGTTGATGAGGTGTTGAAGCAATACTGAGCTGATGAAGGCTATTTTATCTTACAACAGTTAGTAGTAAGTTCTGTTTTTTTTTTCTTTTTTTTTTTCTACATGATAGGTATCGTTTTTACTTTTATTTTTATTTTCTATTTTTTTTTCTTCTTTGAATAATTTAGTGGAAACTTTTTACAGTTGTTTTATTGTTCACCAAAAACAATATCTTTTGACAAATACAAACAATCAATATTTGTGTACAGCACAGAGTACAATTGAAGTGCTAAATTTATTGTTCAATTTTTATATTGGAATGTTGAAGTCAAGCTGAGGAGGTGCATAAATTTTTTGGTCACAATTTTTGTTGTCATTGAACAGTAATGGCTTTTAATAAAAAACAGAAATTTGGCTGTCTTTTATTAAATTGTCTAATTAAAGTGTAATTGTTGTTGAAGGATGAATAATTGCAATAAATTTCATTGATGGGTTTAGTATTTTTATTGCATTCGATATAAATTAGCTGTTTTGTAGTTGTTTGTTTCCAGAAGACCAGAGCTTATAAATGAAATTCTAGTAGTTGAGATTGAACTTATTCAGGTCAACAGAATAGCTGATGGACAGTAACAGTAAAGTCTTTAGAATTCTTCTATAACTCTTTTTTTGCTGACATTAACTGTTCTTTAGAAAACTTTAAAGGAGCGGACCGCAGAATGTGAGTCGTTAAAGAAGAAGGTGGAGAAATTCGAGCGAGAAAAGTGAGTCTTCCTTTTTTATTTACTTTACTTTAAAATTTGTAGTCTACGGTCAAAAAACCATTAATTTTTGATTGCCAAATTGTTTTATCTGAATTTAAAGTTATTATAAACAATTTTTGAAGTTACATATGTCTGTTAGCAATGACTATTCAAATGTTTTGGTGAAAGCTTTCACAGTAGCTGTTATCAGAATTCTCAAAGATTTTCTTTTTAGTTTAATTTGTTAAAAACAGTATTGTTTTGACAAAATATTGTTTAGTGCTGTTTCTAGGGAAAACACTTGTATTAAACCATTTTTGATTTAGACAAAAATTTTTTAAGGCAACATTTAAAAATCTTTTTCAAACTTTATGGCTTTGAAAATTACTTTACAAGATTTTTGTTGAAAATCAGTAGTGGTTTTTTTTTTTTTCTGTTAGTGGCTAACGTGTAATCATCGGTGGTATTTCATAAGAAGTGTGTTCTAATACTTAGTTCGACAACTAACGGTACCAGCTGTCTGAATGTTATGACAAGTCGTGTTATTGTTAGTATTCAAAAAGGTAGCTTTCTTTTTATGCGAAAAGACTACGGCGAAATATGATAAAAAAATTTTTTTTACTATCTTTTGGAGAGTCTGAAAAACAAGAGATGAGATGAGTTTTTTAGAGCAATTATTTACATTGATGTATTTTCACTTTTTTTTTCTTTGACTTTGACAAGACTATTTAAACAATGTTAATGACTATTGTGGTTATTTGGTCATTACTTAGCCTTTATCAAAGACGAACTGACTGCAAGGCTAGACGTATTTAATGCAAGAAAGAATAGAAGCAGGAAAAATTTATTCATCAATTTATCTATAATTTTTTCAGTAGAGTAGAGCATTTGTGTTGTGGTTTCAATGATGTAATTTGTGTCATTGTATCACCGAGAATTTTCTTTTTCAGAATTTGTTAGTTGTTTAAATTTATTTCTAGTGTTCAATAGTTATATTAAATCTTTCCAGATAAACTAATAAACTATTACTTTTTATACTGTTGCTGCATTACATACACTTTTTTTTGTTTGTTTATGAGTATATAAAGTTTCTGAAGGTATCTGAATTTATTATCCTTATTTTTGCTGGAGGATACTTTTTAGCCGTTTTATAATTGTTGAATGCTTGTTCATTTTGTGCTTTCAGATACAGTTTTATAGGATTTGAGTGCGAGTGATTATTGGAACTTATTTTGCCATGTTTTAGACAACAATGGGATAGCCAAAAAAAGGTACTGGAATCTAAACAACCGATGGACGTACAAATGCTACAAAGTCAGAAGCGTGAGCTAACTATGCAGCTAGATCGAGAACAGTCGGAAAAACAAGAACTATTTTTGCAGGTGTATAATTATTGGTATTATGATTACTTGCTTGAATTGCCTGTAAAAAGATTTATTTGGTGGTAGTGCAGAGTTTTTTTATTTTTGAAGTAGGAATCTACTGTCACTACAAAGTGATATTTCACTATTTTGTGCTCGAAAGAACTATCAGATGGATTTTTATGATTTACGAGATGAATTTTTGCGTGATAGAATAAGAAATATATAAAGTTTTTTGAACA